CTCAATTTTGCCATCAGTTATATCGTGTCTAGTCTCATAGCAAAATGCTAGGAGACTAACAATGCAACCACAGTTAATTTTCATTGTGCTTGGTCACTTTTGTCTTTGGGTGACTGAGAAGATCAGCTACTCCTGACATGGAGAGATGGGCAATTTGAGCAACATGGTAGAACTATTGAGAAGATTTGGGGAGGAAAGGCAGTGGGGAAGCAAAAGACCCAACCGTTTGTATTAGTGTGTGATGCTCAGTCATCATACAGAGGCGAATGTATGTAACATCTGAGAAAACAGAGAATATTGTTTGTTTGGGAAGAAAATATAATTAGCTTGTTGCTCTGTGCCTTTGTGAGCTGTGATGGAAACGTGCTTTAAATGATGTACATAGGGAACCGTTCTTGATTCTCCCACTGACATTAAGAGGCTGGATGGAGGGAACTGGGACTAGTGGGTCAAAGACCTAGTACAGCTCCAATGAGGATGGAGCTGCAGGTTGGGACCTCTTCTTGAATAGATTTTTCTCTCTCTGACATCAGGAGCGTGATGCATAGCTATGAGGTAGGCTTGATAGCAATTGGATACTTCCTTTTCTTACTCCTTTAGTGGGAACCTGTGGGAGAGTTATGGGCTTTGTAGAATATGAAGGTAACTGCTGAGAAACTGGCTTTATTTCCTTAAGGGTTGGAAATCAATAGTGGTAGCTAGACAGAAAGGTGTCACCTTATCTCCCTTCTCATTAAAACTTCTGTGGGGTTATTTCAGGTGTAATTTATGAAAAGCTGTTCAGTAGGTACCTCTTCAGTGAACCCCTACTAGGTTTCATCCCACCATTTGACAAGTAGTGTGGTAAAACATTTCTCTGTACAAGGTCAGATTTTTATTTTTTTTAATGGGGTTTTACATGAATGCTTTGCATTGGGATTGTTGCTTCTCCATGCATAAATCTTTATTATACCAACAGCCTGCAGCCCTGGTGAACCAAAGGAAAACTCATTTTTATTCTCTGTATTTATCACCACAGGGAGAGAACTCATTGAAAAGGAGCTGTGAGAGTTTCCAGCAGGTGTGGTGGGGTTTAGGTGCTGTGAGCCTTCAGTGGCTTATGTTTCTCCCTTTTGCATTTGAATGGGATATGCCAAGCTGGTTCTGGCCCCAGATGGGGCATCATTCCCTTTGGGATGATACTGAGGATGGAACTGAAAGTGAACTTTTGTTGGAAGGTGCTATGGGAATAGAGGAGCAGGTTTCCCCTGCGTGCACCTTAGTCTGGGTCAGAAGTGTGCAAGCTATGCTTTGCAGCCAGTTTGGTCTGAAGCCTCGATTTTTACTTTCTGACAGGTTCATTTGGATTCAGGCAGGGTTATTCTTTAAGGGGGGTGATAAATGTGCTGACACATAAGTGCTTGTGGATTTTACCAGGTGGTGAATTTGAACCCTCCACCTTGAGGTTGACCTCACCTAATTTACCTTTGCAATAAAAGATACAGTCTGTTTCTACTGTCTGCACACAGTGGGATTACTAATGTGTTAGTTACCTGTGATATAACAGTGTACTTTTTGTCAATGAATGCAAATAATAAGAAAGATAAAACTAGAGATTTTAGCTAAAAACAAAAGATTTTTTTCTATGGAGAAAAAGCATAATCCTACATATCTAGGTTTTGACTTCTGCACAGTATGCATTAATTTTGGTTCACTGTATGTTTTCCAAAATCTGCAGTGCATGAAACCAAATTCCCTCCAGGATAGCTTGGAGGAATCTCTGAGCCTGTGTGGGGAAAGACTTAGACATGGTACATAACCATCACTGAGAGGACTTTTATTCTGAGATTTTTATTCTGAAAATTTGAGTGCTTGACTTCATAATTCTAGCATGTTCTATGATGGCAACATCATATCTGTATCTCTAGTATGAACCGAAGAAGGCAGGATGGCCATCATGGTCCACCCCGGCCCCTCCTGCTGCTGGGCACAGCGGCACAGCAGGCAGCAGCAACGGCCTGCTCCCGTCCGAAGATGAGGGGTTTTAGCAGAGTTGCAGGGAGAAACAGTCTTGAGTCATGAAATTTCACTTATTTTATTGCCAATTATGATAGAGTTTTAATTACTGAGTCTGATACTGAGAAATAATGACAATTACACACTTGAGAACACACCTCAGCTTTGCTCCAGACACCTTTCCTCCCGCCTTGCCAGGCCCCAGCCCACTCCCAGCACATTATGCACAGTCATGGGGGTCAGTGCGGGGTTCTTTCCTTTTTCTGCCCCTCTGTTCCTTGCTCTTTTCTTTCCACGGCTTCAGCGCGGGTTCCTCCCCAGGCTGCCATCCTCTCAAAGCTGCAGTTCTTCCTGGATATCCACGGGCATCCCCTGCCGTCACACAGGCCTTGCCGTTTTCTCTGGTGTCTCCTGCCCCAGTCAGCTACTGCCAGTAGGTCCAGTTTCTGTAGAACTGGTAACCATCCACTGTTAAAAACGTTATTCCTCAGGATCCCCTTTCTCCTGCAGTCATTCCCTGGCTTCATCTGTACTGTCTCCATGCTGGTGAGTGCAGGGAAGGAAGGAAAAGCTTTTTTGAGAGCATGGGAAAACTAGGTCCCTGAATTTTACTCAGGTTCCTTCCTGGCTGTACCGCTGTTCCAGTCATGTCCTGTGAAGCAGGACTGGAGGGCATTGGCTTGGAGGGGACAGCAGAAAGGCGTTGTGGTGTGGGTGGGTGCCACAGGAGTGGGGAAGATGCTCCGTGGGTTGGTTTGTGAGTTGTCTGGTCACATGTGAGCTGTGGGAAGAATGTGAGCAAGCTTTTTGTGGTTGTAGACTTTGAAGGTTTGAGCTGCTTGAACCCTCTCATCTCTACTGGATGTGTGAAATGCAGTTTTTTGAAGGCTAATGATTTTCCCACAAGAATCCACTTGTAGCTGGGTAAGACAAAAGGCATGTGCCTGAAATGGAGCTGCACTTTGTTTCAGGTCCCTCCTCTAAACACTGGAGTGTGAGAGGATTTCAAATTAAGTCACCAGAAATTTAAGCTGGTCAGAATAACGTACTTTGCCCGGCTTCATTCTTAGAAGTAATTGAAGTGCTGGTTTTGAAGTTCTGCCAAATGCTTTCATGCTTTAGACAGAAAAAAGCTCAGACTAGATAAGCATAGACAATTAAGGTTTGGCAAAATTATAAGCTGACAAAATTTGGGTCCTGTGGTAGGAAATGCTGATCGCTGTTTATAATGGGTATGAGTCCTTCCTTTATTGTAGAAGTTGCCCAGTGTAATCCAGGCTATGCCAGTGAATTTCACAGGGAGACAGTGGTGTTCGCATGCACATTTTGGAAAAGCCATGCTTTATGGATGAGCAAAAAAGTGCCCCACAGCCAAATAAACTATAGCAAAGTGTCTGTGCATCTTTGCAAAGAGTGATATGCTTTGTCCTGTTTCAATTAATGCTTTTGCAGCAGGCTAAAATGATAAATGTAAAAAATAAGCAAGCTGCATCAAGGCTGGCTTGTAAAGCCAGACAGAAGGTCAGTGTTGCATGGTAATGATATGGAAATCAGCTTGGATCACAAGCATGAATGAGTTCTGTGATTCAAAACTTGCCAGTAATAGGATCCAGTATTAGGGTCAGGCAGGTGTGAAGATACTAGTGATGAAGATTTGAAAACAAACTTTAATTTAAGACTCACAGAGCAAAATGCAATGAGTTCTTTAGCCAGTGTAATTGTAGTAGTGCAGAAAGGTATTTTCCCCTTCTTGGCCTTTTGCCCTCCATTCGTTCACAGAAATCCGTAGGTTCAAAGGTTTGGTTTTGACTTACCAGGCGGTGAAGAAGGCTCTGATAAGGCTTTGTAGCTATTAAACTTTCATAGGTTTGCAGCCTTGTGGTTGAAGCTAGAGAGATGGTAACTGGTTTTTTCTCTTGGGGATGGAATTTCAGTTAAGTCAGTGTTGCTCCATATTAGAATCCCAGCCTTGCAGGATGCTAAATGTATGGAATTTATGTTATAGGGAGCAGGACCTTTGCCTGAGCCTGAAAAGTTTCCAAAATTACTCTCTCTCCTTTACCCGTCTTTGCAAAACTTGGTTTCACTTAATGCTCTGATTGCACTTGTTCTAAAGTCCGTGCATCCGCGGTGTTGATGCTGCTGCAGACCTGTGCTGCAGACCTGTCCAACATCTTAACAAAAAGCAGGGGATATAGTTTTTCAAAAGTGTTTGGCATTGCCAACAGTTCCTCTCACTGAAGTCATTGAGAGCTTAAGGCTTTAGAAAATCTGAAATCCCTGTGTTAAAAGTTTTTATCCGCTCCTTTGAGCTTTCCAATACTGGGTTTTAGACAGTTCCATGGCTTATGAGGAGAAAAAAAGATGGACCGACTTGGCTTTGATGTCTCCAGTACAAATCAGCCCCTTTGATTTGAAACCCATGGGTCATTTGTGTAGCTGCCCAAAACTGCTCCTCAAGCTAACTTGGTATAGAAGCTTTTTGGTGTGCCTTTCACTTCTCCCACAATTTCCCTTGAAAGGATCTATGACTTTATGGTTTATGGGCCAGGCTACCTTCTCCTGCAATGGGAAGTTTTAAAATGTGGACCTGGCTGATATCTCATTAATTGGAAAGATCTGATGGGGGAAAAAAAAAAATACCTAGGCTGGGAAGAGTCCTCAAGGGTTACTGTCAAATAGACCACTGGCCTGCTCGGGCAACAGATCTTTGTGGGATTTTATGCTGTTCCACTGAAAACAGTGGTATCTATGAGCCATTTGTATGCCTGGAGACTGTTATGTTTTCTGACTAGTCCTTTACCTGCTTTTTAAGCTGCTGCATGTTGCGTGCCTTCTGTTCTGCTGTAACAGAGCAGCTTTGCATCTTGCTGCCTGTATAACTCCCACTTCCCATGCTGCATGATCTACTGAACGTACTTATTGCACATCCAGAAAAGGCTGAAATAGATGTTGATGGTTTTTGCTTTTTGTTTTTTTTCCCCTGTCCCTTTTTCTCTTGACAGTTTTTTATCATGCTGTTAATTATATTCTGTTGGAGCTCACTGTTGCGATTCTGTTCTTCGTCTACAGCGACAAGGTAAGTCAGATTCTTCAATTTTCTTTCCCCTTCAGCAAATTTTTATGCCCCTTTTCCCTATAAATAAATCATGAAGTACGTGGCTTGGTATGCATATCATGCTTCTGTCTTCCTTGAGACACCCCTCTCAGAAGGAGCTCTCTCTGAATGCATAAACAGCCTTGCAGGACTGGGCTCTCTTGCTTGCTCGTGTGTACAACTCAAGGTCACAGGTTCTGCCAAGTGCATCTGCCATTTAATAAAAAAAAAAAAAAAAAACAACCAAACAAACAAACCAAACACTAAAAACCCCCACAAAAATGCAAAGAAGCCCATGAGCCTTACTGGGAAGATGTGGAAAGAGACACCCATCAGAATGAATAGGATTTTTAAAAACTATGTTTATAATTTAAGAACCACATTAATGTTTTTGCAAAGAACGTGTCCTTAGCACAGGCAAGGGTGCACAATTCATTATCTTTCCGAGCTGCTCCTTGCAGCACATATATACTTAGATTCTAGTGGAAAGCCAAGGTAAATGTATAAAAGTTTAATAAACAAAACTTTAATTTGTTGTTTCAAATTTTACTTATGTTTCACCTTTGTTCCTGTGCTTACTTGGTATCTCTCTTGTAAGGGTAATGTCTATCTGAATTCTCTTTATACTTAAAATAATTTTTCTTTAAAAAAAAATCTTATACAAATAAACCCAAACCAAGGGCACATTGTGCATAACCTGCCTCTTCAATCAAAATTGTCAAAGTCTCTTACAACTGAAGACTACAGGAGCTTGGACATCACTAAGTGAGTGATAAAATTTTGACATGAATTAACAGTCAACAGGTACATGACCAGTAAACAGCTTATTCTGGAAGGGAAAGACGAAATAGCAAAAAATAAATACAAATTGAAAATAACTACACAAAATATCAAAATAAAATTAACATTAACAGTACACCTAGTTACAGTCAGTATATTTAGCACGAACCTGGATGAGTGGATGTCAACATTACTTTCTAGAAAGGCTCTGAATTAATTAGTGAACACTGTCAGTGATTGTCAGGTACACTTCTGAAGGACTGAAAAGAGCTAGGTTGCTGGATGGCATGCTGTAGCTGGAACATGGAATTATCTTGCAAGGTAATTAAAGTAGAAGGGGCAATTTAAAATCACTTGTATGCATTATGGGATTCTGAATTACTTGTAAACTCTTGGGAGAAAGATCTCCACGTCATACATGACAGCTTAATAAAGGCATCTACTTAATATGCAGTGGGCCTCCAAAACCCAAATACAGCACTTGGCTATATTTAGAAAGGGAGTCAGTTAGAAAATACTATCATGTCTTTGTATAAATTGACAGACTCGCCTCACTGTAAATTTGATACTGAGTTGTGGTTACAGAAACTGTTAGAAGCCCTAGAAAGGGGGAGAGAACATTAATGAAGAGGGAGTATGGAGACTACCCTGATTCAGTTTGGGAAAGGGAAAAGATCCTCCGCTTAAGAGAATTTAAGAAGATAAATGATACCAGTTTCTAAAATAATGACATACTAAAGACCTCTCCTGAACACAGAAGAAATACTTTAAAATATTAAGGAGTAGGTTTATAAGATAAATGTTTCTTATGCTCCACATCGTCGTCTTGTAGAATTCCCTGTTGTTGGCTGTTGTTGAGCCTGAGAGTTCGATAAATGTGTGGGTATGGAGGAAGGAAAAAAAAAAAAAAAACAAACAATGAAACATATTTTTATTCATAAAACAATCAGCACTGTTTTGTTGACACGTGTGCCACAGGGAATGTTGGTCTGCACTCTTCAGAGGTAAAAATAGTGAATAAGTGTCAGGAAGGATTCTATCCCTCCTTCAGCCTGTTGTCTTGCATTGGTTTTTATTTGTTCTTAATAAAGAGATCAGGAAATTTGACTTTCCACCAAGTCACGCACTGTAGGTTGATGCAGGAGGTATACTACAATTGTCTGTAAGATCAAAGCAGAGTCTAAAATATGGGCTCCAGTTCAAATGCAGTTTTACTCAGTTAAGAAATTGCTGCAGTCTGTGTATTGCGAATGATCACATTTGAGGCTCGTAATGTTCCTCTATGGCTTTAAATTCATCATCTTATACTGAGGAAATCTATAGGTTGTCTCTGTGTTACACTTACAGTCCTGCCTACAGAATAAATAAAACAGCAACAGCCTAAAACTAGTATTTTCGTACAGCATGCCTCGAGTTTGTGCGCTGGCTTTCCTGATGTGAAGAACAGTATTGCCACGTGTACTGGTATGGGGAAGTAGCTAACCAAGACAAGTCCACCACAGTAATTCAGTTAATGCAGTTCCTTGGAAAATCAGTGAAGGAATGATCTATACTAACACTTGCACATCAGAAGAACGTAACAATTTTGTGTGCAGAAGCAGAAAAGGACCCTGCAGATTAAGACTTTGAGGGCTCCTGTATCATTCATATGTGTATATATGTAACTCTCTCTATACAGATATCTATATATATAGATACAGAGTTATATATATAAAAAATCATCTGTTTTTTCAAGTACCTGGTAGCCTTCTGTTAATTAGGAGTGCATGTACATGTAAGCTTCTTCACAGGATAAAATGGGAACCAATCGTTATTTTCTGTTTCTGGCTTGAGAAGAGGTTGAATAATAAATTCCCTTGCAGTTTTCATTTACTCCTCCTGCTTTGTCAAGCAGAAGGACTTTGGAGTGGGTACTTCGTCCCTTGCTACCAAGTGGGATGATGCTCTCCTCTCCATGCAGCGGGGTGATGTTGCTGCCCTGCTGATGTGGAGAGGCAGGAGACGAGAGCTGCCCAAGGCTCTGCAGGCAGCTGGGGCCGATTCTAAAGTTAGAGCTCTTGGTGTTTTGGCTGATAGCAAGGGATTTGAGAGACCGAGCTGTGCCAAGGTCAGGGCTGGGTGTTGCACCTGGCTCCATAGCAGTTGTCCAGTGAATGACGTCCGTTTTGTTCCTTCTGCTGTAGAACGGGCGCAGGAGCCAGCTGGTGCCTGCGCGGCGGCGGCAGCCGCAGGGTGGGTGAGCGCTCATCCAGCCGCCGAGCTGGGAAGCAGCCTCTCTATATCCATTGCTGGGACTGTTGCTTCAGTGGCATGTTCGTTATTAAAAAGCATCAACGAAAGATCTTGACAGCCGTTCACAGATAGGTTTTTGGCGCAGTGTTTTCTTCTTTTGCTGTGGGAGAGTGTGCAGCTGTGGAGGTGGACAGGACAGGCTGCTGGGACTCACGGCAGCCTAGACTGACCCGTTCTTATTCATCAGCTTGGGAAAAAAAAAAAAAACAAAAACAAATTGCTTCTTCCTCTCGTTCTAGTGACTTGGCAACAGCCTCTCTTGAGCTTTGAAGCAGCCAACTTGCTCCCATGCCATAGAATGTCATTTTCCCTTTTCTTGATGGAGAAATATTCACCTTGATCTCATGAGCTAAATGCTGCCCTGGACTTTACAACTCCTTCTCTCAACTGGCTATGTGGTCTGATGATGTCAAGAAAGAGGCACTTGGAGAAAGCTCAGGAAAACATAGTATAAGAAGGAAAAGGGGTAAAGCCTTGTTTCTTGGAGCTGCACTGTGGATCTCTGGCGGAGCCTGAGCTCACATCTTGTTCACTATTCCTCCAACTGTCCTGGCTGGTTACATTGCAAAATATTAATCCCTTGAGTTCTGCAGAAGTGAAATGTGGGCTGTGTGGGAATAGGATGAGGAAATGCATTCCTTTGGGATGATTGTCTCAAAAAAATATGTAGCACATTTATTTTGTCCTGGCTGTTCCCAGAGCAGCAGAGTGACTGGTTCAAGGCTGCCTTCAGCACAGAGTGGGCACCCGAGAGACTCGGGAGTTCCTGTTGGTGTTTGTGCATGTTCATATGCAAGTTCCCAAAGTGTAGCTTTTTATGTTTTTGAGGGCAGAAGTATCAGCCCAAGAGATGTGGGTATTGAATGGAGTTTGCGTGAGTATGAGAACTAGGGCAGGTTGTTATCCCTCTTAGAACACTATTTCTTGAGGCTAAACTCATGTCCCCATTTGAAGCAGTTCAAACTCCAGTAATACTGCTAGAGTCATGTGAATGGCCACCCATCTATAGCTTGAATGTTATCTCTCATCTGTTTTATTGTGATTCCATTAATACAGAGCAGCATTTGACAAATTTATAAGTTGACCATTTCAGTGTGATGCTCTATACGTATCTATAAGAGATCCATGGAGTACTGATAGGATTAACCTTATTTTTATTGTGATAAGGAGACAGCAGCAGTTCCCTATCCTGTCAGAGGCTGGATACTCCTTATATTTCTCAGCACCAGATTGGACCCTGCTAGAATATAAATGATGATGATAAAATGCATAGTCTTGTACCAGTTCTAACTTGTATAATCATTCTGATTTTAGCATCTGTATGTATTTTTACTGTGATGTTTCTCCTGGAGGCACAGGAAAAAAATGTCCGTATTTACTTTTTGCAGCTGTAATACATTATTTTTTTCAGTAGGTTGGTTTCTTCAGTTGTCTGTGTTTTTTCTGATTGATGGGCAGAGCTATGGTGCTGCTATTTAATACCCACAAATGGAAGAATATAACTAAACCACCATAATGTGCTTTTTTTTTTTCTTTTCTTTTTGAAATGCTAAACTGAGTAACATAAGCTGTTTTAAGGAACAAAAGCACTGAAGGATCACAGACTATGATATTTGATTATGGGAGCAGTTACTGCTATTGGCAACTCAAAGTTAAGACCGGAATTTTCAATAAGGATTAGGCCAGTAACTTACTTGAAGCCCCTGTAAAAATTACAGCCTAAATTCCGTGCCTGCTTAGCTGTGTTGAAAATGGCCCACAGAATGACAGAGGACTGAAAAATAATGACTACTTCTGTTTTTCATGAGATGTGTGAAAATGCTCTGTTTTCCATGTTGCAGTAAATTGTAATGAGTTCCTCTATAGCTTTTACTGCTAGCTTATAAAAAATATGGTCTGTAGATTGATGC